AGACATGAAATACTAGATGGCTCTGATTCTCAATACTGGTTTTTTGAATTGTCTGCTTACAAATGTGGAAACGAGAATATGAATGATGAGCTGGTCTGTTGCTACACAGTGTCTGCAGCTGGGTGTTGGTGTTTGTTTTCAAATAGACTAGGACATGGTGCTGCTTTCCACAAGCGCTGATTGTGAAAGAAACAATAACATGGACATTATTTGCATATTGTGCCATTCAAATTAGAAATTTACCAAGGTATATAAATCCTGACGGAGCAATAATAATGCAAAATAAACCATTAACTTGATGCTGTTAATGTTTAGGTTGCTAAATGCTTTGCAACATTGCCTTTTGATTCAGTATTATGGTTATGAATGTGCAATTAAAGATTTTCTTTCCAACACTGTCATTAACTGTATCTATAAGTAACCTCACTTACCCTGCTAGGTAGTAAGACAGGACATTTTTGAAGGCAGCCAACATGTATTACCCCTAGGTAATAGTGAAGGTAACTATCAGCTGAACATAATACTTAGACTTGTGTGTGTGTGTGTGTGTGTGAGAGAGAGAGAGAGAGAGAGAGAGAGAGAGAGAGAGAGAGAGAGAGAGAGAAGGGGAGGGAGAGAGAGAGAGAGAGAGTGAGAATTGGGTTTGTCTGCTAAGTAGATAGTACATAAATGAGTAAATGGCAAACTTACATGTTTCTTTCTAACCATTGAGATTTATCCTGGTCTTTTGACTCTTTTCACAATCATATTCTGTATCTTTTATAAAAGGATAAGGAAAAACACCAGATTTATTCTGCGGCCCATGCTGCTAGTCTTTTCGTTCTAATATACTGTGTGTGGTATTTCATTGATTGCATGATGCTTCTATTATTATTTTTTAAACAATCAGTGTTCTTTGTGTTAATAAATTATTGAAATTGTGGGATGAATGGATATTTCCATGGAACTGAAAATTTAACTTGACTGTATCATAGGCCATAAGCTTTATGGCTCAGTTATCTCAGTCCTGGCAGAGTCCACATTTTTTTATCCAATCTGTGCTTGTTTTGTGCAACGGGCATTTATTTTCTTCTTACAGTTGATCTTCATAGTTTCTCTTCAGTGTTTTTATGCTAGCAGATGAAAATAATGGGCTTTATAAAATTGGACATGACATGTATCAGCAAATGGTAAAACCAGAAAGAGAAATGGAGTAAAAGAACAGTCCCATAGGGCCTGACATTTTTCTAAGAGGCAAGCCATCATTTTTATTAAGTAATTTATAGAGATTGTTTGAGAAATACTGTAATTGGAGAGGGAATTATAGTGTAAAGAGTATGCAAAGAAAATGAAGGGAAGGGAAACATACAAGGGGAAAAAGTTACAGAGGAAATTGGTGCATCCCTTGAGGTCCAGAGCATCTATCTAATTTCAAATCATAGTTGCATTTTCAACCCTTTGTTTTTTTCCTAGATGATGAGGCATTCATTAAATCATGCCAGCATTTGGAGCCATTATGTTCAGCATTGAAGGAACGATCTGAAATATATTACCATTCCCCTCCCCCAAACACACACCTTCTGCCAAGTTTACCTAGAGTTTGAAGACAGAGTTTGGACATAAGTCATACAACATAGAAGGCCGTGTAGTGAATTTATGCTGTACTTTGTCTGAGAATTAAGACCATGGTGTTTGTTCACAGTTCCCAAGAATACTCAGAATCTAAAACAAGGCTAGGAATTTTGGAGTTTCTTATTTAATTCTGAAACCAAATTAGAAATTTAGTTTCTTAAAATTTCTTAGGAATTTGAATCCACAGACGTTAAGAATGTGGCAAAGATGAACAAAGATTGCTAGGCAGGCAATGAAGACTCTTTAGACTAACCAGAACTTTCTTTTAGAATGTTGTTTACAAACATTCACAAGCAAAATTTTATTAGGCATTGTGCGCTGCTTTCAACTCTTAAGCATTTGCATTTTTGATAATAGTTTCAAGCAATTGCAATGATTGACTTTCCTCTCGTGTTTTATGGTCAGTGTTGGGTGGTCTGAATTGACAAAATCCCATTACTTGTGCTTATTAAGATACATTTACCATTGAAGAAGAAATTAACATGATTTTTGAGAGTAATTTAAAAAGTACAGGGTACAAGTATGTCAAGAAACATTCTTTGCCTTAACACATTTTATAAAGAAAGTGTGTATATGTGTAAAAACTATGGGAACATAGATAAGTGAGCTTGAAATGGTTTTTCCGATTTCCATGGCAAATCTGATTTTTATGGTTTGAACATTTCTCTTTTTACTTTTCTCATTTCACAAACTTTGCCAGTCCCCAAAGGTCGGCTTGGAGACTCCCTGTACTAATAGGCAAAGCTGGCCTTTCCTGTGCGTGTCTTTAAGTAGCCCATCCTGAAACACTGACCTTTTAGTTTAATAACAGTTTTATTTGGAGAAAATGTTCAGATCCTGAGAGCTGAAAAGAGTGTTTTTAGAAAGGCCGTTTTAAATAGTGGTTCCAAATGGTATATCTTTTACTCTTGTGTGTACTGGACCAGGACTATCAGAATATGTTGTTGCTTTCTGTATTCTATTGATTTAAAAACAAATAACCTGAAACTTAGATTTGCTCAAAACCTATTACTGTACTGGTTTGTTTTCCTGCCTGGGTTTTGATTTGATATTTTAGAGTTTAAACTCTTTATGCTAGGTCATGCTTTATCTTTTGTTAGTTTAAATTCTCCGTGGTAGTGAAAGTAATTATCTTTTCAGCTGTGACCTTGGACATGAGACGCAAAAGTCATAGCTGTTTTATTTATTTATTTATTTATTTTCCAAAGATAGTGTGGTTGGCTTGGCCCCTTCACTGACCAAAAATGATGTCAACCAGCCGGTTCTCTTGGACATGACTTCTTCAGTGGTCTTGGGAATTTCCTCGCCTCCCTCCGGCATGGCTGCTTCCCTACCACTCAGCTTACACCACACTGCTGATTTTGGCTCTCCCCCCAGTAGGAACCTGCTTTTAGTGGCATTGTGAAGAGATGAGATTGTTCATTAGCTCTCTTAGAAAACACCTCATTGCTACTTACAGAGATCTGGCATCCTGAGTTCTCATCCAGGCTTTGTTTTAATGCACGGAATAAAATTAGGCTGAGACGCAATGGACTGACTGTTTGAATTGTGCCCGAGGAAAATTTCATGTTGTCACTTGGTGCATCTGGGGAGAGCCTGTGTGCTGATCCTGACTAGTCTATTGAGTGTAGCTCGCTCAGGTAGTACTCATTGGGTTAAATATTTTTATTTTATTTGTTGCCCTTATTAGAGTAATTAGTTGGGAATAACTTGAATTAAAACAAAACAAAACAAAACAAAACAAAACAAAACAAAACAGTGTTGGATTGTTTTGGCTGTCCATGAAAACCATGATCACTTGCAGAGTGAACCTTCTGGAACTGCAGTCAGCAGACACCCCTGTTGCCCATCCTGTCTGCTTTCAGATGAGACTCTCAAACCCTCAGTAGCTTCTGACCAAGGAACCATAGGAGGTTCAGACTGTTGAGACACTTTGCCGAACCACCTCCGCCGAATTTCTCTGCTGTTATTTGGGTTGCTGAAGACTCAAAGTGTCTGAACTCCACATTCATACCAACACTTGTTCTTGTTTCCCTTTTCAATTATAGTGGGTTTGATTTGGTACCTCACTATGGTTTTGATCGACATTTCCCTGATGTCCAGTGTTGTTGTGCAGTTTTTCATGTGCTACAGTCACTTGTGTTTCTTCAGGGATAATGCCTGTTCATGGCCTTTGCCCATTTTCAATTGCGTTGTCTTTTCATTGTTCCGCGATAAGAGGCTTTTTGTGTATTCTGGATATAGTATGTCAGCTGGATATGTCAGCTATGTGATTTCCCAGTATTTTCCCTTCTGTGGAATGTCTTTTCACTTCTTGCTGTTTTCTGATAGCTCACAGCTAACAAGAAGACATCAGTTATGAACATTCATTAAGCTTCTTTGTTATCGCTCACTGTTAGTTAGATTTTAGAAAAGGTTTTTGCATATCCTGTCATAAAGCATTTTCTGCATATCCCCTGAGGTGAGGTGCTTATAATTTGGGGATCCCCAGAAGGGTCCTGGTAGGGCACAGGCATTGCGGCTTCAGTTTCCACCTAACAGGCACAATCATTTGCTACAATAGCCAGGTCTTGTGTGAATTGCTAGACCCTCCCAGGTGCTTCTGGTGCTTGTTTGATCTTGATTTTGGGTAGTGAGTTTCTAGCGAGAGGAAATAGACTTTGATTGCTTCTCAAGGAGGTCTTTTAAAGAATTACCTCAAATTTATTTACTGGCTGTTACAGCTGTAAGACTCTTTACAAAACGGGTAACATTTAAGCGCTTCTCATTAGAAAGACCAGATGTTTAAAATCAAGTCACCAGGTATTTGGAAAACCCCAGCTGTATTCTCAGCACTGTTCTGTGTTTCTCTCCAATCGTTGGCGCTTGAATTTGAGTGACATGTTTTCCAAAAAGTACGGTTTCAAGATTTTCATAAATCATGAAAAAATGAATGTAAATACAAAATGATTTCTGTGATATGTGATTTTTTTTTTTTTTAAACATTGACTTATCCAAAGGAGAATGTTTTGGAATCATTTTTCTTCTCTGAATTTCTTTCCTCACAACCACCCCTGTCCTTACATGCATGTCAGGCTTTAATGGTAGGACATCATTTTAAAGAATTTGTACGTTGTGATTAACTCCCTGCCGGGCAGTAAGCAATTCCTTGAGTTTATTATAAATTTTGGCAGGTGGAAATTTCGAGGCCACCAGGGAACTCTTGATTAAATTACTCTTAATGCCATAATTGGTCTTTTCCACAGGGCACAGGTATCTCTGGGAGACACTGACCAGCTGGCAGGCCTGGCCCCTTCAGATCTAGTCTCAGCTTTGTTTCCTAAATAGTTTCTTGCTTTTGTTTTCAAGAAGTCACTTATTTTCTCTCCTTTGTTCTTTACTGTTTTTAGTTTCTGATGAAGAATTGAAAAGAAGAGTAGCTGAGGAGCTGGCATTAGAGCAAGCCAAGAAAGACTCTGAAAACCAGAAAAGGTGAGTTACCGGTGGCCAGTGGGATGTTGGTGGGCCCGTTACCCCCACAGGTATTTTTTGAGCAGAGTGATCCTCATCACACTTGCTTGTGTTTGGACTTCTGAGTGTGCTCAACATTGAGTGCGGCCATTGTCAATTCCGGATTGTGCTTGTTAAAGTCTTGTGTTACCCTCTTCTCACACTTGATTGTAAATGGCCCCGAGGGCTCTTATGCTGTTCTCAGTCATAGGAGACCGCAGTTCTGTTTTCTCATAAGCAAGAAGTAAGTTAAAAGGAGTCTCCAGGCATTTCTCAGGTAGTTTCTTTCCATGACTGATTTTATGACCGAAGTTGCGTTGGCTACCGTTAGATTTTAAGAGTAACTATATTGTAGTCAACAACAAATGTCCTGTCATATTAATTAACCATATTAACAAGTTGTGCTACTTAGTAATTAAATTAAAAAAATGAAGGCATTCCAGAGATATTGAAATCCTCCATGATGCAGTTTGATGGCAATTACCCGTTTTGACACTTTGATTTCTTTAGTTTTTTTTATGGTATGTACTTCTGTTATTTTTTGTTGTCATTTTAAAATACTGTGCCTGTTAAGACTTGCTAAAAGAGTGTTCATCGAAGCATTTATGTAAGAGTGGAAAACTGGAAGAAATTCAAACTCCCAGCATGGGAGTGCAGTAAGTGAATTGGACTCACGGGAGAGTGGAATACTACACAATCAAGAAGGTTTTTTAGCAGTCAAACAGATGTGGGAGAGCTGTAAACTGGAAAAAAAAAAAAAGTAATGTTCAAGGCCATACAGATAATATTTCTTTGGTGAGAAGCACTACATTTTTTTTTTATTACAAAGTTTATTTTTACATCATTTTCCACATTTTTTTTTTCCATCTCGATTGTAATCCCCGCGGGTTTCCCATCACCAAATCACCCCTGTGCCACCACCATAGTCCCGTGCATTTCCCTCCCTTCCCCCCCCCCCCTTTTTGATCCCATTCCCACTCCTCCTCCACAGAATGTCTCTGGTATATGGTTGTTCATTATTTTTGTTATTTTCTCGCCTGGTCCATATACTCCTGCTATGAGTGAAACCATCCGGTATTTTTCTTTCTCTTTCTGGCTTATCTCACTAAGCATGATCTTTTCCAGCTCCGTCCAAGTTGCTGCAAAAGACATGTGTTTCTTTTTTGGTTGCTGAGTAATATTCCATTGTATATATGTACCACATCTTTCTAATCCAGTCATCTACTTTTGGGCATTTGGGCTGCTTCTATGTTTTTCCAATTGTAAATAAAGCAGCAATAAACATGGGGTGCAGGTATCTTTTTCAATCAGTGTTTTTGTGTCTTTTGGGTAGATACCCAGGAGTGGGATTGCTGGGTCGTAGGGAAGCTCCATGTTTAGCAGTTTGAGGAACCTCCAGTTTTCCATAGAGGTTGTACTAGTTTGCATTCCCACCAGCAGTGCAGGAGAGTTCCTTTTTCTCCACATCCTCGCCAACATTTGTTGTTGCTAGTTGTTTGAAGATGTGCCATTCTCACTGGGGTGAGGTGGTATCTCATTGTGGTTTTAATTTGCATCTCCCTTATTACGAGTGATGTTGAACATTTTTTCATATGCTTGTTGGCCATCTGCATTTCCTCTTTGGAGAAGTGTCCTTTTAGCTCTACTGCCCATTTTTTGATGGGGTTGTTTACTTTATTTTTGTTGAGTTTCATCAGTTCTCCGTATATTTTTGTGATCAGTCCTTTATCGCTACTTTTTGTGTGAGAAAATGTTTTCCCAATTAGTGAGCTTTCTGTTTGTTTTTAGTAATGTCTCTTTTGCTGTACAGAAGCTCTTTAACTTGATGTAGTCCCATCTATTTATCTTTGCCTTCACTATTGTGGCGTTGGGTGCTCTGTCTTTAAAGATGTCGCTGAAGTGTATGTCGTGTAGTGTTTGACCCATCTTTGAGAATCACTACTTTTTAAAGACTTATAGCCTATATCTATTCATAAGAATATGTGAATCCATTTTAATCCAAGATAGAATCACATGCTTCCCATCTGTGCGACTTTTGAATTTTGCAGTCAGGGGCACTGTTCCTCTGTGATTCTGGGAATGTCTTCCTGCTGTGAAGAAGGAACTCACACGCCAGTAGCAGGCACTGAGTATATATGTTCTTGTTTGGGCTGCTTTACTATTTTGCTTGAAAGAGCTAACTGTAAATAACCTTTGAATTGGATTTGTGTCCTCACTGGCCATCGGACCTTCACTGTATAATTTAACCTCTTTGAGCCTAATATTTCATCTCTAAAGTGAGGGGCTTGTAAAACGTTTTCTACTATTTCTTTTCTTTTGATGAATTGCAAAAAGGTGGCTGTCTTTTGCTGGAAACAGGGCATGGATGGGCTTTAGATTAAGAGCATCGTTTTCTTAGGAAATAGAGAAGGCTCATGGCTTAGGGTTTTAAGAGCCAAGATGTCACTGTTACTGCTAAAATGGTTTAGATATTTCAACAGTTTCACAGACAGCACTTTATAATTATTTAATTGTGTTAGGTCATTGAGGTTTATAATTAGGTAGCAAAGGTAAGTATTAAAAGTTTCATTCAGAAGTCAAGAAAATGAATGTTTTATGGTAGAATTTCTTGACTTTGAAATTTTACTCTTTTTAATTGAATTTTATTTTAATAAACATTTTTTTGGGTTAGATGCTTTGCTTCTTATATTTCACATAGCTTTTGTTTTGTTTTCCTGTTCTCGTATATATGGTACAGGCTGTTAAAATAACTCTCACTGTGGTGGGAGTTTCTCCCCCTTCTTGATTCAACTTCTATTTGTTCTGCCTTGGTCTGTGAAGGGTAAAGGGCCAGATGAAAGGAATAAAAGGAGCCAGCGTTAGAACTTATCCGGACTGGGGTTGGCAGCCTTGCTGTAACCTGGACAAATAACTATTGATAAAGAATTTATTTTCTGTCACCTTTAAGGAGAGCGGAGGGTGGTACAGCCTTTTTTTGTTATTATTTTTTTTCTTTTTAAAAAATGTTTTGTTTGAAGCCTTCTTCATGAAAACTTCCAGCTGTCACATCTTGGCAAAAAGTGTGTGTTCATCTGTATGATAGTTCCGAGAAGAATCAATAGCTATTTTTTCCCCCTTTTCTCAGAGAAGACGTTTTAGAGAAAACATTAAGCAAGTTTTATGTGCAATCTTTTGAAAGAAACTTTCTGGAGTGACAAAGCAATTATAGGTTGTTGTGTCTGTTACCTTAATTGAATAGCAGTTTTATTGAATTAAAAAATGTTTTTGAGGTAACATTGTTTTACAATACAGTATGTTTTAGAAATACAGGGTCATGCCCTTCAGGTGTAGGTTAACCAACACCAAGCTTCCCAGAGTCCTCGCCTGCAGTTTGTAAGCAGGTCTAGAAAGGGGTCTGTGTGTGCTGTACTGTTGCTTAGTATCTACTCTGCTTACTAAGTCTCCTCTTTCACCCCAATGCACACGTAACTGCAGGTCACTTTTGAAGCACTGATGATCAGGACTCAGAGGCACACACCAATGCAGGGAATCCAGATGGCACTAGGAAGACTTGGGAGTGATTTTGCTGGCAATGTTTTTCTTTATAGAATATTTGTTATCATTGATTAGTTTTTATATTATGGACATTTTAAAGTACATTTAAAAATAGAGACTGATGATGGCCCTCCCTGGTGGTGCAGCGGGTTAAAGCACAGCACTGAGAATCTAATGCTGCTTCCGTATGAATTTGATTCCCGCCTGCCCCGGAGGTGACCACATGGCGTGGCAGACCCCACCTGACCCGCCCGCTGCTCCCCTCAGCAGTGTACTTCGTTGATCTGCCTGTTCTGCTCCCCACTCTGTCTCTGGTGAAGCCTCTCGCCGCCCCTGAGCCTCTGGCCTGTACCCCAGTTCTGTATGCACAAATAAATAAATCTTAAAAAAAAAAAAAAACAATAGAGACTGATGAATCTCCACAACCTATCACAGGTTTTTACAGTTCTTGTTTCAGCTCTACCTCTTCATTATTCCTACATAGTAAGTGGGAAAGATGCAACATTTTTAATAGTCTGGTGAAGTTTAGGCCAGAAAATATTCTGAAATATCTTCTCTTAGACCAACATAAATAAGGACCTTATTTCATTTAAGATTTTTTTTCTTTGTGAATAAACCAAAGCAAGGACATTTTTAGAAGTATACTAGATGACTCAAAGGACTTAAAAAAAAATTTAGAGAACCATCAGCTAGGGAAGAACTGGATACTGTTACTCTGTACACAGTGGGGAAGAAGTAACTTGTGGAAAGAAACTAGGATGAGGTTTCATAGCAAAGGGGAAAGGATGGTGGATGACTCAGTTTCATGGAATCAAAGCTGCCATTCATTTTGAGAAGGCCTGTATTTGATGTTCCACTAAGAAAAATCTTAACACAATAGTTTATTTTTAGAATTTTCTTATTGAAAGATTTCAGTAAAACTCCCTTTGTTTGTAGAGATGTATCACTCATGTGTTCATAAAAAAAGGAAATGGAAGCAATGGGAACCTTTTATTTAACACAGTGTTTTTCAAGTGGGAGAGATTCTGATGCCCAGAGGACCAGAATGTCTGGAGACATCTTTTGGCTGTCATGACTTGCCAGGTGTTGTGGGCATCTAGTGGATGAGGTCAGGACACAGTGATGCACAATCTTGCCCCTCTGGCCCCATCACCCTCCTCAACAAAGAATTATCAGGACCAAAATGTGAACAGGGCTAATGGCCAATGGTCAATGGTAGGCCAATGGCCTGGGGCTAAGGTATTCTTAAAACCTCTTCATATTGCTCTAATTCTTCTGATTCAGTTTTTGACTCGGTGTCTTGAAGTCTTTGTTGCTATGCATAATATCATATTCTATGCCATCAAAACAGTACTCCTTAAAAGATTGCTCCACTGTTGTTCCTGGGATTTTTCCAGGTTGCTGACAGCAGTTTTGCAGATTTCAAAGCTTGTGCACAGGCAGTGGTA